TGCAGACAGCCTGTGTGTAAACATTACGCTTCATACCCAATAGGAGCTTCAGACTGCCAACTGACCCACAAAAAGACACGCTAGCAAAGATGCAGAGATGCTGCATACAAATTCAGCTGCTGGTAGAGTTGTAAGTCCTAGAGATTTCTTTGCTCTCACACGGTGTTGGTGGAAAATTTTACTTCTAGTGCTTAGCTCTCAGCCAGATTTCTTCTCAGCTTGGTTTTAAACAACCTCACTAGAGCATTCCTTAGACGCCTTCAGTTGGGGCAGCTTGGCTTCCTGAGCAAAACTGAAATGTGAAGGGAAAAAACAAAACATAAGTCAGGGTGGTTTTGCTTATCAGCTGCAAATAGATGGTTTCACAGGCCTGACTAGAAAAGTCTTCCCAAAACCCACTTTCGTAAGCTCTCCAGTGGGCTCTCTGCGAGCTGGCTCAGAGATAATTTGCTGGCTCGGTAATGAGCTGTTGTAAGTAAGAATCCTGTAAATCAGATGACTCTAGTCATTTGATGCTTATATTTGGCATGCTGAGTCATAAGGACAGGGGTTACATCGTGTCAAGTTAACCATGCAAAAGGAATTGCGGATGAGGCAGGCAGAGCTGGGGTGCACACTTGTGCTGCACAGTGGCCCTGAGGTGTGGGAGCTGCCCTTACCCCATCCACACCTCACTGTCGATGGGGCTTTGTCCCCCACCAATGCTCCTGGCACAACTCTCCTACCTTCAGTAGGAATATATACTGCAAACAGTACCTACAGCAGACTGCTACATGGCCCCAGATAATGGCTGGTCACACGCCCAGGTTCAGAGCCAGGTCAGACAGGGCGTCCCAGCATGGACTTACACAGACAGGACACTGTATTTTTCTTTAAAAGAAAAAAGTCAAATCATGTTATTTTCCAAAGCAGTGTTCCCTCTTAACAACCTGTTCCTGACCCCACCTGTTAGCTGTACACTTTGCTCCCTGAGCTATGGCTTCAGTCCCTGTGCTCCCTCCTTTTCTGCACCTTCTGGCTCTCTGAGTAGTCCCCATGCCTGTGCCCTCTGTCTCTCTGTATTCATACCCATTTGTTGACTTTCTCTGTGGTAAACACTAGGCAACCTTTAGACTTCCTAAAGATAAAAATCTTCATTTAAGGGCTTAATGCAGTAGAGAAGCCACGGCAGCCTCTCTCAGCAACCCCTTTGCATAATTACAGCTGCTGTTAAATACTATGTGCTGCAGTTGGATGTACCCACTTCTCCCATCGAGCTGTGGGATCTTTTTGTGCTTTTGGCTGCTCAGAGTTCACAGCAAAACCCCATGGACAAGCAGAGTGAAAAACAGCCATGTTATCGCCTTCATTTTTCATCGGGGTGGGGCAGCACAGAAGAAAGAGTAGTTAACTTCATTTGTCTTAGGGTAGTCTTGCACCATAAAATAATTCAAAACCCTGCAAGCTGAAGCCATGGCAAAGATCCTGTAACCTCACAAAAAAGCAGTGTTTGGGTTCTGGTGTTCCCAAGTGAAATATTTTGCAAGTTGCCTCTGACAGAGAGCTCTTAACTGTCAAGTTTTTCTTTGGATTGCAGAAGGCAAAGAAACTTCAGCGCATCTGTGTCAGGGGAAAAATGATGACTTGGATGGTTTAGCAGTCAAGCCACTCACCTAGGAGAATGGGCACTCTGCTCAGAAAACTGTTTCCTTAATTTAGCCACTAAATATTTAATGAAAAATGCACAGCAAGGTTTGGCAGACACCTACATGCCCTGACCACTAAGTCATAGTCACATTTGCAGTAGTGCCCTCTCTGTCTGATCGGTCTGTAGTTTTGTGCTGCACAGCAGACCCATTTTCAGCAACAGTGATGGGAAGCCCCACAAGCCCTCACTGGGCTAACTGGTTAGCAAGCACGGATTTGAATCCCTTTACTCACTAAACCTGGCTCCCTCATTTCTTGGACCAAAGGTCCAGCCTCTAGAGGAGTAATCCCTGAAAAAAAGGAATGGGAATTAATTTGGAAAGAAAAGCAGCAGCTCTGATGAGATCTGTGAAAGGTGGTGCGTCTACAGCTTCCTTCAAGAAAGGGTCCTGGGTGGTGAATCCCAGCTGCTTGTAGGTGTCTCCTCACAACCCTGACAAGGATGCTGGTCCCATAGAGGGACAAGTTTTCAGGTATGTCCTGTGCCAGATAGTAATACCCTGGTTGCAGTATCAGCCACTGACAGCCAGTGTGAAAAAAACAGTATGCTTAATGGGCCACTGCAGGTGGAAACTGGGAGAAGGACAGAGGCCATGTGGCCCCCAGAGCCTTGCTGGCTGCCGGAGAGGACTCTGTCAAGCAGACAGTTGCGGAGTCTCTGCCTGAATGCTCAGACTCTCTGCAAGGCTCAATGTTGCTGCTGAGATGCCTTCACTTTCCATAGAGTAGGAGGTGGGTTATTTTTCAGGGAGTCCCATTACCTGTAATGGTACAGAAGTTACCTTCCCTCTCGCTAACTTCTTATCCCTCCTCCAGCCATATATGTTTCATTTTGCTACCACTTTTGCTTTTGGTATAATCTTTTGCTCATAAGCAGAATACTTTCCAAGGCAGGTCAGTGCAAGAGCATCACACATTTGATTTTTGTCTATATTATCTGGAAAACAACACAGCCTGCCCAGCAGTGTCAGGCCAACCAAGGAGGAGAAAAGCCATCCCTGCGAGCCCTCCTGGCTGGCTTGTGTTCAGAGACGTGCTGCTGTGCATGACAATGCCTCCTGTTACCAGCAGTGCAGGAACCAGTCCCAGACTTTTATGGCAGGTGGTGAACAGCAGCTGCAGCTGACAGTGTGTCCATGTGTGCTGGCAGCGTGGCCAGCCCTCCCCGTGTGCCTTGCTGTAGCCATAAATCCCTGCAGCAGCAGCTGAGTCACTCTCACGCTTTTCCTTTGCAGATGTACGGCACATATGAAATACATAAATAGCAGCAGCCCTGCTGGAAGGCTCCTGCCTCACCGGGGACCAGGTTGAAACTCCAGCAGGATCACCTATTCTGTGCTTCTTCCCCCCTCTGAGCTTGCTGTCCCTGCTCTCCTTTACAGAGAGGGGAAAAAAATCCCACCGCCACAGCCATTTCCCATCCTGGTGGGAGAGAGGATGCCTGGGCTTGGAGGGGCACAGCCCTCACTGCCAGGGAAAGATGCGAGAGCAGATTAAGGGCTGCATGAAACCTCCTTCAGGACTTCAGGCTTTGGCCTCTGCGCTTTTAAGCACAAAGAAAAATGTTCTCTCCTCATCCCTGAGAGAGCCCCCAGGGTTTTGTGGGTTTTGCAGACACACAAGTTGTGCAGCCCCACACAGAGACATCAGCGGATGCTGGCCCCAGCACCAACCTGAGGTTGGTGTATGGCATGAGCAAGCAGAAAGAGGAAATTCCCTGCACGCAGTGAGCAGCCACACCACTCGCTGCAGACCAGACCCTGGCCTCCAGAAAGCCAAGCACACACTGGGCTCTGAATGTTGGTCCCCTGTGAGTCACGTCTTTCCCTGCTGCGACAGTGCCTGGCAGGCTCAACAGCAGACAGCTCAGTTGGATGCTATGGAGGTTGCAACACCAAAACCCTCCTGCAGCGCTTCTCTGTAACTGGGTCTGGTAACAGCCCAAGGCACTGTCCCTTCTCTCATCAAGCAGAGCTACTGTGCAATATGAAAATGCTTAGGTTTTTGGAGAAGAACACCATACACAACTTGATCTCCTGAGAGTAAGTAATTATAAAGTTGTCTGCTGGTGCCTGTGGGGACCAGCAGTGCATTTCTTGGCAGTGCTCACATGTTGTTCAAGGCAGATTTCCTGCATAGATCTAGGCTCTGGCTGCCAGCCACAAGTAGGACAGAGACAAATGCGCCTGCTCAGGAAATGATAAAGAAACTGAGCAAATGCTCTGGTTTTTGAACCAACATAATTTGGAGACCTGTATAATGCCCTTCCAGAAGCACAGGCAGTGTGGAAATAACAAGCAGCTCCTAATGCCATGCCACATTTTGGGTCACTCTGAGTGAGCAGCATGCATGAGCTGGTGGCTGCCATAGTGTTAGCAGCATCCTAGAGCTGGCCATGGGCCAGAGAAGAACCTCATCTCTCTGCCACCTCCAGCCCTGCTGGGGGTCCCATCCCAACCTGGCCACCAGTGGGAGTTTGGTGTCAGCACCATGACCCACTGCCATGGAGTCATAGAGGATCATAACTGTTGTGATGCTGTGTGCAATGGGACACAGTGTTAAGCTTTTATTCTGTAGACTTCTGAAGCCAGGGGAGTTGAATCCTAGCCTCAGAAGTCCACACACCCTTATTTCTGGTGGGAGTTAGCTCTCCTATGCAATTTGAGGCACCAAAACATGGCTGGCCCCAGCTAAGTGGTGCCATGGCTCATGGATGAATTGTGTGCTAGGTATGATCTAAGTTGGAGGCAAAGCCTCCACAGCCCAGCACGTGCCTTGTTCCCCTTGCCTGTAAGCACCCCAACTAGTAAAAGCCCTGAAGCCTTGGTTCCCTCTGTCTGCCAATCCCACTGCAATGTTCAAATCCTGAGAAGGCAGGCAGCATCTGGAACAGCTCTGCTTCACAGGGAGTTGAGCTGTCCCTCACCGTGTGCTGCTGCCACCAGCCTTCCCAGCCAGGTGCCAATTTGCTATCACCTCCAGCAGCAATTCAGCATCCTCCTCCTCCTGCGGCACTGCGCAGCTTCCCCAGCCCCACTGTGGGGCCACAGGGTCCCCTAGCAGGGGCCATGGGGGCCACACAGGACTCGTGGAGATGCCAGGGGGAGCGCAGCAGCTCAGGTTGCTCCGACCCTGGGGATGAGGAGCAGTGGGGTGGCCAGGGGCATTTTCAGCTCCTTCAGTGACATGTGGCCACAGGACAAGGGCAGATCCCAAGCCAGGGTCCCCCCACTAAGGCCACACAGGCACTTTGCCGAACATCACCATTTATTACTATCGCTAGGAGCTACTTCCTCGCCTGCTGGGGTGGATTCTGCCAGTGACCCCCAGTCCTTCCCGGCTGCCGGGTTGCTGCATCCATCCTGCGGGGCAGGTGGGGTGGGTGGGGCCGGTGTACCTGGAGAAGGTGGCTCTGGGATGGGGCTGACCTGTGTTCCAGTGGGCCAGTGGTGCCTGGGGCTGAGGGGCAGGGGCCAGCCCTGCGGATGTCCTGCCCCGGCAGCTCTATCTTGTCCTGCTGGAGAGGAGAGAATGGGCTGGCTAAAGCATAAGGCTGGACTTCAGCATCCCAAGCTCAAGCAACCCTCTATACCTATACCCATCTCTCCTGCTGAAGCCGTGGCATGGATCCTCCCCAGATGCTCAGCATCACCCTCCCAAGCTCAGTCACCCCCGCCAGATCCCTTCTTTCTTCATCCCTACCTTGCTGGGGAGCAGCGTGGAGGGCTGGAGTGCCTGTGGGGCACTGGGCTGGAGAAGCTGGAGGTGCAGGCTGCGCTGCAGCGGGTGTGTGAGGGTATGCTGGCCCCCAGACTGCCGTGGCAAGGCGGGGTACCTGCATGCAGCCATCCGCTCCCTGCAGGATAGGGTATGGGAACACTCAGCACCCAGCACGCAACTCAGCACATGTGGCTTCAGCGCCACTGAGAGAGAGATGGGGCAGCACAGTGGGGAGGCTGCTAAACCCCCAGGCCTGGGGCAAGCACAGCTGAGCCTCTGTGTCACATCTCTGCTCCCCTGCCCTGCCCAGGGAGCAGAGCCCTTTCCCCAGCTCAGGGAAGGACTCTCCCTCGCTGGGGCAGGGCCATCCTGCAGCCCAGGGATGGGGATGGGTCCCATGTCCCCTACCTGTGGGTATGCTCCGTCTTTAGAACAGGGTGGGATTGTCCAGTGATGTGAGGGACCAGCGGTGGAAGTGGTTGGATGGGCGGGATAGGCCTGGGGAGGGCAAGAGCCGTCAGTAGGTGACAGGAGACAAATGACTCACCCTGGCTCGTGGCAGCACCCCAAACCCCATAGGCTTGTACCTCACGGCATCCCCTGCCTGCTGCCCTAAGGGAGAGCTCCTAATCCTCCCGCTGACGGGCAGGCCTGTGGAAGGTGCTGGGCAGGATCGGACCCTCATAGGCAGACACCCCGAACCCCATGCCTGGTCTGGAGCATCACCAGCACCCATCTCCCCCCGTCCCACCCATGCAGACTCGTAATGCGCCTGTGTTGTGTGCTACTCAGAGCCAGGCACCCGCATGTTGAGTTGCTTGTCACAAGACAGGCACTGGAAATCCACCAGCAGCTGCCTGGGGAGGGGAGAAAGGGCTGGGTGAGTTCAGAAACCTGGGTTTCAGCCTGGTTTATGCCCCCACCCCCCCCCAACACCAACGAGGTCCCAACCTGCTGGCTGGTTACAGAAGAAAGGAGATAGGATGAGGGAAAGCGCTTGGTTGAGGGCTCCCTCCTGGGAAAAAGCTCCACCTCATCTTAGGCACAGGAGAATCCATAGAGGGGAGTGCCCAGAAACCTCCAATGCTGTGGGAACCACTGCCACAGGCACCCAGAGCACCATGGGAACAGGGGATGCAGGCAAGGACAAAGTGGGAACAAGGCGAGCGCTGTCCCTATTGCACTCACTTCCTAATCCCAGCTGCATCGTCAGCTTCCATTGGTGGTGCCCTTTCCTTGAGCTGCTTGAGGCTGCTCTTCCAGTGTTCATCCAGCTGCTGCTGGAACAGCCCCAGCTCCAGGCGATCCAGCTGCAGACAGACACAGTCCCTCAGACAGCGGCTCCAGGATGGGACACTGCATCCCCAGAGAAAAGCCAGGAGCAGGAATCCTCAAAAGGATGCTGCCTTGGGCCACCAAGCCCCGAAGGTGCCATTTTTACGCCGTGGTGATGAGCCGCCACTCACCTTGGAGGCCATCTCCTCCCGCAGCTGCTGCTGGACCTCGTGCAGCCCCTGCTCCTGGCCTGTCAGCCGGCTCAGCACCTCCTGGTTTCTCTCCTTCAGCAGCTCCAGGCTCGCCTCAAATTGGGCGCGGCTGACTTTGCTTTCCAAGGCGTCTTTGTCTGCTTTCTAGCAACAGGGAAAGGCAGGAGAATGGTGGGGAAAGGATGGAGGTGCAACAGCCAGGGTCAGCTCATTGCAGGGGGAGAGGCAAAAGCACTCCAGCAGGACCACAGCTGTGTAGTCCCACTCACCCCATCACCCCCGTGGGGTCAGTCCCACCAGCCCAAGGGACATGTGGGGAGACAGAGGGACTTGCAGCTGGGCTAGGAATCCTCCCTCCCTCAGGCCAGCTCTGCACACCAAGCTCCCAGGGGACAAGGGGCATTTGTCACCCTGCCCAGGACCCCCTTAGGCCCCTTGAGGTTGTACCTCATCCATTCCGAGCTCCAGGTCCTCCTTGTCTGCCTTCTCCTTCTCCAGCCTCTCCAAGGACTGGAACAGACCCTTCCAAAACAGAAAGCATCCCATGACATTGTGGCAGGAGCACCCCTGCTTCTCCCTCCATACCGAATCCTCTGGAAAAGGTACTTTTAATCTCCACAGGGCAAATCACTTATGGTCCCCAGCCTGGGCTCTGCCTGGAGGATGCTCCAACCCCACGGGGGTTTCAGCCATCTACCTCGATATCTTTCCGCTGCTGGCGACTGTCATCCAGAAGGCTCCCCGTGACAGAGTTGAGCTTTTCATACTCCCCTTGCATCTGCAGGATGGCAGCCTGCATGCGCTTTCAGCACCTCCTCGTCCTGCTCCAGGAGGAAAATGACCAAGGTAGTGCCACGGAAGGTGGGTGGCTGCCCCACGGGGACAGACCTGGCCTACTGGGCCAGTGGCCATAGGCTCTCAGTGCCAGCAGGACATCTGCAGCATGGCTTGAATCTCCCTCTGTGCTGCAGACTTTACAAGACAATATGGGGGGGAGCAAGGAACTCCCCCACATAGCCCCGAAGCACAAGCAGCCGGGCATGGTTCTGGCAGCCCCCTCCCAAGTCCCCCATGCTGCCATCTCCCTACCTGGCTCTTCCCTGGCAGCTGCCTCACCAACTCGCCCCTCTTCTTGCTCGACATGAGGGAGTCCACCAGCCCCCGCAGCTTCTCGTAGCACTGCAGCAGCTTCCCCAAACGCATGCTGGTGTCGCTGCTGCACGTGGGGCATACTGCCTCCTCCTGCCCCGTGCTCTTCATCACCCTCAGCTCTTCCAGCTGCAGAAGGAGAAGAGGAATCACCTCTGAGATGGGACAGATACAACCAACAATCCCAAGTGCCATGGAGGCTCCACGGCCCCAGCCAGCCAGGGGATGTGGCTGGGAACCCCACCAGCACCACCTCAAAGAGCCAGCAGGTGGTGGGAGCTCCCCCCACATCTCACCTGCTCCTGCTCCTCCTCGGCTGTCTGGGTCACCAACTGATCCAGTGCAGCCTTGCTTATTCGCTGCTGCTCTGCCAGATCCTTCATGTCCCGCTTTACCTCCTGCATTTTGGACCTGGACAGCGAGACAGGGGTACAGGCAGGCTTAGTCTTCATAAGCTTAGTTGCTCAGGGGGCATCCCTCACCCCCCAGCACGGGATGCTCCCAGCCCTCCTGGGCTCCCTTGCATCCCCACAGGGAACAAAACCCTCTCCTGTCCTCTTACCCCAATGGCGGGCTGAGTTGGTTGCTGAGGTCCATTTGCCAGCTGTCTCTGGCCGCCTCCAGTTTGCCAAGGGCACTCTCCAGTATCCTGATCTGGGAATGGCAGTGGGGGCAGAGTCAGGGCACGGCCCGTGTCATCCCAGCACAGGGGCTCTTCAGCTGCCTCCTCTGCCCAACTCTCCCAGCATGCCCGCATCCCCCTCAGGGACTTCTTACCTTTCCCTTCTCGCCCTGCAGGTCACTGGCCAGGCCCTGCAGGTCGCTGGCCAAGCCCTGCAGGGATGACACCTGGCCCTGGAGATCAGCCAGCATGTTGGCAGCGCTCTCCTGGCCTAGAAGAACACAGTACAAGGGGACACACTGTCAGTGAAGGGGTCTCACCCTACAGGCCAGGCTCTGAGCACAACCAGCTCCAGACCCAGCATTTCAAACACCCCCACAAGCCTCCCAGAGCTCCCACCTCCCTCCTGGAGGAGCAGGCGCAGCTTCTCCAGTTCAGTCTGCTCCAACCTGGTGGCTTCTAGCTGGGCCACCTGCTCCTTCAGGGAAGCATAATGGTGTCTGAGCTGCCCAATCTGCTTGAGAGCCTCCACCGTCTCCATGTAGGACTTGCAGGCATTGTGATAGGCACTGCTGGAGCCTGAGGGCAACGCCAGCTCTTGCAAGTGGGACGTGGTCCTGGGATCAGTGTCGAGCGGGATCTCGAATCCCTGGGTTGTTGGCAAGAGAGTCCCTGCTTCCAGGGGGCCTGCCTGGTGAAGCTGTGTGCTGAGCTGCTCCCCTGAGATGGTGGTCTGAGTGACGGTAGACTCTAGCTGTGTCTCCAGGGTGGCGGTCTGGATGCCCGTGGACACTGGCTGTATTGGTTGTGTCCCCAAGATGGTGGTCTGTGCATCCTGAGACACTGCCTGCATCACCACTGTGGTGCTAGCATCCCTCCTCTGATCTGAGGGAACGCCTCCCTGCTGCTTAGGGGCTGTTAGAGATGTCCCAGGATCCTTCAGCCCCACTGAGCTGTCTCTAGATCCCAGCACTGAGCTTGACCCATGTGGGGTGTCCACATCTGAAGTGGGAGACTTGGTGGTGGCAGACTGGTCTCCTTCTTGTCCTCTGGGTCTTCCTCCATCTCCGCCTTGTTCTCCTTTCCTGCCCACCAGGCAATCCTTCAGCACATCCCAGTGCAACATGTTGCTGACCACCTCTGGGTCCGGGTAGAGGCGCAGCCTTTCCTTCACCATTTGCTGGGGAAAGAAGAGATCAAGGGCATGGTGGAGCCCACAGGAGCACTCCCACACACACCCAGCACTGCTGGGGGCCATGCCCTAGTGCAGAGGCACTGCCTGCACTAGTCCCCCAGGGATGCAGCCATCTCCTGTCCTGTAGCAGGATCTGGCGTCCTCATAATCATACCACATCACTGGCCAGAGTCCTTAGGTTCCAGAGGCCTGGCAGCTGGCCGGCAGCATCCTGGAGGTTCCCCTAGAGTGGGGTGAGGAGAGGGACGGCAGTCAGGATGCAGAATCAGGACTGAACAGAAGCATCTGCAAATTAACTTGGGCACCAGACAGATGGACGCTGGGCAGGCTTGTGCCTGGGGGCTGCTGCCGTATTGTACTGGTAGATCTTGACCCTCCTTTCCCAGCACCCGTGGTACTTTAACGGGTGTTCAGTTAAGAATTGCCTTAGGGCCACTTGGGTGGACAAACACAGTCACCTCTGCCAGCAGCTTGAGCTGGAGGCAGTGCTGTCCATTTCTGCCCTCCCCCGGGATCCGGGTTGGGTGGGCTGAGCTCCCATGCTTTCCTCTTGGGGCACCCTTCCCACTGTTCCCTCCCAGTGCCCTTCACACTAGGTGACATCCAAGGCTGGAGGACAGGGTCTGCAAGGAGATGTGGGGTGATGCAGGGAGGGGAGCAAGAGGCCAGCTCCCTCCTGGGGACACCAGCAGCAGCTCACCAAGCCAAGCGCGTCCTGGATCATATGGATTTTTCCTTCTATGCGGGACTGCGCCTTCTTCATCTGGCTAATCTCAAGGAGATCCTGGGAGACAGACTTGTCCTAGGAGAGGAGGGTGGCAGGCATGAGCCCCACGGGAGGGTCCCTGCAGACCGGGAACTTGGTCCCCACCCTGCCCCAATGGAAGCCATCACACGAACCCATGTCAGCAGGGCTGGATCCAGCCCTGCCTGCTCGTGCTGAGCTCTGTGCAGGAGCGCTGAAGGTGATGCCAAGGGCAAAGAGCCACCCCTGGAGGAGGAGGTGCCTCAACGGGGGAGAACCCAAGGGACTGGGGAGAGCCTCTACCTGGGAGCTGCTGTTCTTGTCGGTTTCCACCTTCTCCACCAGCTGTCCCACGTCGGCAGCCACATCAGCTTCGGAGCCGCTGGTGGTGTCCTGCAGCGGGTCCTTCGCAGGCTGCTGCTCCCCCGGGTGCTGGGGCTGCTGCTCCCCCGGCTGCTGGGGCTGCTGCTCCCCTGGCTGCTGGGGCTGCTGCTCCCCCGGCTGCTGGGGCTGCTGCTCCCCCGGCTGCTGGGGCTGCTGCTCCCCCGGCTGCTGGGGCTGCTGCTCCCCCGGCTGCTGGGGCTGCTGCTCCCCCGGCTGCTGGGGCTGCTGCTCCCCTGGCTGCTGGGGCTGCTGCTCCCCTGGCTGCTGGGGCTGCTGCTCCCCCGGCTGCTGGGGCTGCTGCTCCCCTGTCTGCTGGGGCTGCTGCTCCCCCGGCTGCTGGGGCTGCTGCTCCCCCGGCTGCTGGGGCTGCTGCTCCCCTGGCTGCTGGGGCTGCTGCTCCCCCGCCTGCTGGGGCTGCTGCTCCCCTGGCTGCTGGGGCTGCTGCTCCCCTGGCTGCTGGGGCTGCTGCTCCCCCGGCTGCTGGGGCTGCTGCTCCCCCGGCTGCTGGGGCTGCTGCCCCGCGGCCAGGGTCCTTGCCCTGTCCGACTCCACAAGCTGCTCCAAGCCTCGGATGGAGCTGTCCTGCAGGCCCAGGTGCTCCAGGATGGCCTGCAGCAGGTTGCGCAGCGCTCGGAAGTTCACGGCCTCGACATCGGGATCCCCAATGGCGGTGTCCAGCAGCTGGGTCAAGCTGAGCAGAGCCATGGCTGCTACTATGGCCGACAACACGAGTCTGACCTGCTGGCGGTAGGAGAGTCAGTGGGCAGCCAGCAGCCTGCCTCCTGCTCCCTCAGTGATGTGGTGGCCCCTTCCCCGCAGCCTCTGCCCCCTCCAGCCCTACCGCCCCCCCCACCGCCAGCCCCCCTGAGCCCCGTTCCTTGCGCCCCGCGGCCCCGTACCTGCAGCAACTGACCCTGCCCCACGCCCTGCTCTCTTTACCCACCGCCCGCTCCTCGACGCCCATTGTCCGAGCCCGTTCTGAACTCACAGAGGGCGGCGCTGATGAAAACACCCGTTGCCAGGCGACACGCCGCGGCCCTCTCCAGTCCCGCAGCTCGGGCGCACGGGTGACGGTCCCGGGACCGACCCCGCTTCCGCCAGCCCCTGCCCAGGGAACCGGAGCGCCCCGGGAAGGCGAGCTGTCCTGCCGAGGAGGGCAGAACTATGTGGCAGAAGCAGGACAGGTTTTACTGTCTCCCTTAGACGTGGCAATACTGGGGGGAAGGCTGCTGCTGACAGCATCACCACACAGATTTTGAGCATCCCGCTCCAGAGCAAAGAGCTGCACAAGCAGGAAAAAGCAGCACAGACAGACACAAGCTTCCACACAACCCGAGCAAGGAGAGGACTCCAAAACATCTTGGAAGCAGAGTCACCCATCAGACAAGTACTGACAAAAAGAATCCTCAAGAACATCTTTTCCTGAAGAAACCTCCATGTCCGACCATGCCAGAGAACCGACACCTCCCTCCTGCGGTGAGGCACTCGGAGAATGAGGGTGGGGAAGCCGGAGGCAGAACTTAACAAACCTTGCTCTTGTTAAAGAGAGGAGAGATTCATTTTCAGTCATTAAAGAGAGATTTGCCCTTGTAGTCTTCTTTCCTGAGCTGGGAGGATTGAATTCCAAGAGGGAGTAGGCATGAAGAGATGGGGACAAGATGCACCAGGGCAGGAAGCTCACCCTCTTATCCTATGCATCCTACACCTTCACTTCAGGAACTGGCAGACCTTTAGGCTCAGGAGCTCCACAGACACAGCCAGGGACTAGTCGTGCTTTCTAGACAGCCCTCGGGGCTGGCAGGAGCTGCAAGACCCCTAAACCAGCATGGGGCCACCTCAGCAACGTCAGACAGCAGCAGCAAGGGAAGGACCTTGGGGCAGAAGGGAAAGAACTGAGGTTCAATGCTGACAGAGTGGCAACCAAGGCCCACGCTGTGTCAGGCCAGGCGGATGCTGTGTCCTTGCGTCCACCAGCCCCAATCCACCATCTCCCCACAACCTTTGGGACCCAGTGAATGCAGGGTGCCAGATTTCCTAAAGCAGGTAGGGATTTTGAGTCACGTCTTGGCTTCAGGTTAGCCAACTGCGTCTGGCTTCTAGTCAGGGTAAGGTGTGAAGCGAAGCCTGAGGAGAACTCAGGTTGCGGTGCTGACTATGGGGCAGGTGCTGACTATGACCCAGGGGACACCGGCTCAACCCTCTGGTCACTGGGGCTGCAATTCCACAGTTAAGACCCAAGCACAGCCTAGTAAAAGCAAGCCCAAGTGGTGCAATAGCAGGCAACAAGCCCTGACCTTACTTCTGGCAGGTCTGCCAAGCAGCTGGGAGAAAAGAGCAGTGCTGCTCACATCTTGAACACTGTCTTCCAGGATGAAAAGCATGGTCCAGTATTAGCTCAGAACAAGGGGCCTGAACACATCTGCAAGAACTTCATGCACTCCAGTGGATGCATTCCATAATCCTCTCAGCATAGGACTCTGCTCCTGCAACAGGCTGAATAGCCATGCTATGCTCAGAGTACAGCCAAGACTTGTTCCTAGTACTTGGAAACACAGGAAACCCATCCACAGCCTTCAGACCTCACCCAGCGCGGTGCATCCCTCGGGGGGTCCCTAATGAAGGGACTCTTCATTAGGGACTGTAGCGACAGGACAAGGGGTAATGGGTTAAAACTTAAACAGGGGAAGTTTAGATTGGATCTAAGGAGGAAATACTTTCCTGTTAGGGTGGTGAGGCACTGCAATAGTTTGCCCAAGGAGGTTGTGAATGCTCCATCCCTGGCAGTGTTCAAGTCCAGGTTGGATGAGGCCTTGGGTGATATGGTTTAGAGCGAGGTGTCCCTGCCCATGGCAGGGGGGTTGGAACTTGATGATCTTAAGGTACTTTCCAACCCTAACCATTCTATGATTCTGTGATTCTATGATAGGTGGACCCCTCGGTGGATAAAGAACTGGCTGGATGGCTGCACACAAAGAGTTGTGGTCAATGGCTCAATGTCCAGCTGGAGACCAGTAATGAGTGGTGTCCCTCAGGGATCAGTGTTGGGACCGGTCTTAGTTAGGGTTGGAAAGGACCTTAAGATCATCAAGTTCCAACCCCCCCAGCCATGGGCAGAGAGCCCCTGTGTCTCCCGATGCCTGATGGGAGCAGGAAATAAAGCTTAGGAATACAGTGATCTAACAAAATGTTTATCAGGTGCCACTACTGCTCCTACCCAAGCTGTAGGTAGTTAGGGTCTGGCGATGGGAAGATGTCGCGCTGTACGGAAAGATAAGACCCCCCTCCGCGTAGCCAATAGGGCCTAGCCTAGGTCGTAAGCAGACGGACGTGACGTTGTAAACCCAGGCTATATAACACCGTGTTACTCGCCAAGAAACGCCATTTGCCATCCACCACATTGGTGTCCGTGAGCTGATGGCCCGAGCAGGCTGGGATTGGTCGCCGTGCCGTTCCTGAACCAGGTCGCCATGCCAACGAAGGCAACACCAAGCGGTGCCTCAACAGACCATGCCGAGATGGTACACATCCTCTTCTCAAGCCCTGTTGAGGTCCAGGTGGGTATAAGGGACTTACACAAACAGAGCAGTTGCGACCTTACACTGGCACTTACATGCTACCATGAAGGCTGTGCCTGTCACAGGCACCGGTTCAGCACTGTGGCATTTGGTTAATACAGCCTCGTGCATTTAGCACAAACCTCTGTCTCATCTCCTGATCCTCTGCAGTAGTTCACCTCGTCACAGGCACCTACAGGTATCCCACAGATACCTGTACTGGCATTCCTCTCACCTAACTTCAGGTAACTGCTGTGTATGTTTCTACATCTAAGCTTGATATCAGGGCTTCCAGGACACTTGAGGGGTCTACAGTCAGGGACTGAAGACTGTTGGTTGCATGGTCCACACAGGCAGTGAAGTCAACAGCACAGTCCCTTAACAACCACATATGGTCAGATGACTACAGTCCTTTGGCTACAATGGGACACAGTGTTAAGCTTTTATTCTGTAGACTTCTGAAGCCAGGGGAGTTGAATCCAGGCCTCAGAAGTCCACACACCATTATTTCTGGTGGGAGTTAGCTCTCCTATGCAATTTGAGGCACCAAAACATGGCTGGCCCCAGCTAAGTGGTGCCATGGCTCATGGATGAATTGTGTGCTAGGTATGATCTAAGTTGGAGGCCAGAAGCATTACAGCCACACGTGTTGCCTTCCTTGTCATAAATAGCAAGGAAGCCAACTGTAGCATGAAGCCCTGAAGCCCCTTCCTACCCTGTGCTCTTTACCAATGCCACTGCAATACTCACAATCAGAAAGCAAGGGCAACAATATGGACAAGTTTCCTGCTTTTAGCAGGGAGTTGAGCTGTCCCTCACCGTGTGCTGCTGCCACCAGCCTTCCCAGCCAGGTGCCAATTTGCTATCACCTTCAGCAGCAATTGAGCATCCTCCTCCTCCTGCGGCACTGCGCAGCTTCCCCAGCCCCACTGTGGGGCCACAGGCTCCCCTAGCAGGGGCCATGGGGGCCACACAGGACTCGTGGAGATGCCAGGGGGAGCGCAGCAGCTCAGGTTGCTCCGACCCTGGGGATGAGGAGCAGTGGGGTGGCCAGGGGCATTTTCAGCTCCTTCAGTGACATGTGGCCACAGGACAAGGGCAGATCCCAAGCCAGGGTCCCCCCACTAAGGCCACACAGGCACTTTGCCGAACATCACCATTTATTACTATCGCTAGGAGCTACTTCCTCGCCTGCTGGGGTGGATTCTGCCAGTGACCCCCAGTCCTTCCCGGCCGCCGGGTTGCTGCATCCATCCTACGAGGCTGTAGGGGTGGGTGGGGCCGGTGTACTTGGAGAAGGTGGCTGTGGGATGAGGCCGACCTCTGCTCCAGTGGGCCAGTGGTGCCTGGGGCTGAGGAGCAGGGGTCAGTCCTGCGGCTGTCCTGGCCCAACAGCTCTATCTTGTCGTGCTGGGGAGGAGAGAATGGGTTGGCTAAAGCATAAGGCTCAATTCAGCATCCCCAAGCAACCCTCTATACCTATACCCATCTCTCCTGCTGAAGCCGTGGCATGGATCCTCCCCAGATGCTCAGCATCACCCTCCCAAGCTCAGTCACCCCCGCCAGATCCCTTCTTTCTTCATCCCTACCTTGCTGGGGAGCAGCGTGGAGGGCTGGAGTGTCTGTGGGGCACTGGGCTGGAGAAGCTGGAGGTGCAGGCTGCGCTGCAGCGGGTGTGTGAGGGTATGCTGGCCCCCAGACTGCCGTGGCAAGGCGGGGTACCTGCATGCAGCCATCCGCTCCCTGCAGGATAGGGTATGGGAACACTCAGCACCCAGCACGCAACTCAGCACATGTGGCTTCAGCGCCACTGAGAGAGAGATGGGGCAGCACAGTGGGGAGGCTGCTAAACCCCCAGGCCTGGGGCAAGCACAGCTGAGCCTCTGTGTCACATCTCTGCTCCCCTGCCCTGCCCAGGGAGCAGAGCCCTTTCCCCAGCTCAGGGAAGGACTCTCCCTCGCTGGGGCAGGGCCATCCTGCAGCCCAGGGATGGGGATGGGTCCCATGTCCCCTACCTGTGGGTATGCTCCGTCTTTAGAACAGGGTGGGGTTGTCCAGTGATGTGAGGGACCAGCGGTGGAAGTGGTTGGATGGGCGGGATAGGCCTGGGGAGGGCAAGAGCCGTCAGTAGGTGACAGGAGACAAATGACTCACCCTGGCTCGTGGCAGCACCCCAAACCCCATAGGCTTGTACCTCACGGCATTCCCTGCCTGCTGCCCTAAGGGAGAGCTCCTAATCCTCCCGCTGACGGGCAGGCCTGTGGAAGGTGCTGGGCAGGATCGGACCCTCATAGGCAGACACCCCGAACCCCATGCCTGGTCTGGAGCATCACCAGCACCCATCTCCCCCCGTCCCACCCATGCAGACTCGTAATGCGCCTGTGTTGTGTGCTACTCACGAGCCAGGCACCCGCATGTTGAGTTGCTTGTCACAAGACAGGCACTGGAAATCTGCCAGCAGCTGCCTGGGGAGGGAAGAAAGGGTTGGGTGAGTTGGGAAACTTGTTTTCGAGCCTGGCTTATCCCCCCCAACACCAACAAGGTCCCAGCCTGCTGGCTGGTTACAGAAGAAAGTGGATAGGATGAGGGAGAGTGGTTGGTTGTGGGCTCCCTCCTGGGAAAAAGCTCCACCTCATCTTAGGCACAGGAGAATCCACAGAGGGGAGTGCCCAAAAACCTCCAATGCTGTGGGAACCACTGCCACAGGCACCCAGAGCACCATGGGAACAGGGGATGCAGGCAAGGACAAAGTGGGAACAAGGCGAGCGCTGTCCCTATTGCACTCACTTCCTAATCCCAGCTGCATCGTCAGCTTCCATTGGTGGTGCCCTTTCCTTGAGCTGCTTGAGGCTGCTCTTCCAGTGTTCATCCAGCTGCTGCTGGAACAGCCCCAGCTCCAGGCGATCCAGCTGCAGACAGACACAGTCCCTCAGACAGCGGCTCCAGGATGGGACACTGCATCCCCAGAGAAAAGCCAGGAGCAGGAATCCTCAAAAGGATGCTGCCTTGGGCCACCAAGCCCCGAAGGTGCCATTTTTACGCCGTGGTGATGAGCCGCCACTCACCTTGGAGGCCATCTCCTCCCGCAGCTGCTGCTGGACCTCGTGCAGCCCCTGCTCCTGGCCTGTCAGCCGGCTCAGCACCTCCTGGTTTCTCTCCTTCAGCAGCTCCAGGCTCGCCTCAAATTGGGCGCGGCTGACTTTGCTTTCCAAGGCGTCTTTGTCTGCTTTCTAGCAACAGGGAAAGGCAGGAGAATGGTGGGGAAAGGATGGAGGTGCAACAGCCAGGGTCAGCTCATTGCAGGGGGAGAGGCAAAAGCACTCCAGCAGGACCACAGCTGTGTAGTCCCACTCACCCCATCACCCCCGTGGGGTCAGTCCCACCAGCCCAAGGGACATGTGGGGAGACAGAGGGACTTGCAGCTGGGCTAGGAATCCTCCCTCCCTCAGGCCAGCTCTGCACACCAAGCTCCCAGGGGACAAGGGGCATTTGTCACCCTGCCCAGGACCCCCTTAGGCCCCTTGAGGTTGTACCTCATCCATTCCGAGCTCCAGGTCCTCCTTGTCTGCCTTCTCCTTCTCCAGCCTCTCCAAGGACTGGAACAGACCCTTCCAAAACAGAAAGCATCCCATGACATTGTGGCAGGAGCACCCCTGCTTCTCCCTCCATACCGAATCCTCTGGAAAAGGTACTTTTAATCTCCACAGGGCAAATCACTTATGGTCCCCAGCCTGGGCTCTGCCTGGAGGATGCTCCAACCCCACGGGGGTTTCAGCCATCTACCTCGATATCTTTCCGCTGCTGGCGACTGTCATCCAGAAGGCTCCCCGTGACAGAGTTGAGCTTTTCATACTCCCCTTGCATCTGCAGGATGGCAGCCTGCATGCGCTTCAGCACCTCCTCGTCCTGCTCCAGGGAGGAAAATAACAAGGTAGTGCCACGGAAGGTGGGGTGGCTGCCCCACGGGGACAGACCTGGCCTACTGGGCCAGTGGCCATAGGCTCTCAGTGCCAGCAGGACATCTGCAGCATGGCTTGAATCTCCCTCTGTGCTGCAGACTTTACAAGACAATATGGGGGGGAGCAAGGAACTCCCCCACATAGCCCCGAAGCACAAGCAGCCGGGCATGGTTCTGGCAGCCCCCTCCCAAGTCCCCCATGCTGCCATCTCCCTACCTGGCTCTTCCCTGGCAGCTGCCTCACCAACTCGCCCCTCTTCTTGCTCGACATGAGGGAGTCCACCAGCCCCCGCAGCTTCTCGTAGCACTGCAGCAGCTTCCCCAAACGCATGCTGGTGTCGCTGCTGCACGTGGGGCATACTGCCTCCTCCTGCCCATATTTGGCCTCAGCTCTTCCAGCTGCAAGGAGAAGAGGCCTAATGGGACAGTGGCATGTGCCTGAGGCTGGGCAACAATGTGTTGATGTCCCGCTTTACCTCCTGCATTTTGGACCTGGACAGCGAGACAGGGGTACAGGCAGGCTTAGTCTTCATAAGCTTAGTTGCTCAGGGGGCATCCCTCACCCCCCAGCACGGGATGCTCCCAGCCCTCCTGGGCTCCCTTGCATCCCCACAGGGAACAAAACCCTCTCCTGTCCTCTTACCCCAATGGCGGGCTGAGTTGGTTGCTGAGGTCCATTTGCCAGCTGTCTCTGGCCGCCTCCAGTTTGCCAAGGGCACTCTCCAGTATCCTGATCTGGGAATGGCAGTGGGGGCAGAGTCAGGGCACGGCCCGTGTCATCCCAGCACAGGGGCTCTTCAGCTGCCTCCTCTGCCCAACTCTCCCAGCATGCCCGCATCCCCCTCAGGGACTTCTTACCTTTCCCTTCTCGCCCTGCAGGTCACTGGCCAGGCCCTGCAGGTCACTGGCCAAGCCCTGCAGGGATGACACCTGGCCCTGGAGATCAGCCAGCATGTTGGCAGCGCTCTCCTGGCCTAGAAGAACACAGTACAAGGGGACACACTGTCAGTGAAGGGGTCTCACCCTACAGGCCAGGCTCTGAGCACAACCAGCTCCAGACCCAGCATTTCAAACACCCCCACAAGCCTCCCAGAGCTCCCACCTCCCTCCTGGAGGAGCAGGCGCAGCTTCTCCAGTTCAGTCTGCTCCAACCTGGTGGCTTCTAGCTGGGCCACCTGCTCCTTCAGGGAAGCATAATGGTGTCTGAGCTGCCCAATCTGCTTGAGAGCCTCCACCGTCTCCATGTAGGACTTGCAGGCATTGTGATAGGCACTGCTGGAGCCTGAGGGCAACGCCAGCTCTTGCAAGTGGGACGTGGTCCTGGGATCAGTGTCGAGCGGGATCTCGAATCCCTGGGTTGTTGGCAAGAGAGTCCCTGCTTCCAGGGGGCCTGCCTGGTGAAGCTGTGTGCTGAGCTGCTCCCCTGAGATGGTGGTCTGAGTGACGGTAGACTCTAGCTGTGTCTCCAGGGTGGCGGTCTGGATGCCCGTGGACACTGGCTGTATTGGTTGTGTCCCCAAGATGGTGGTCTGTGCATCCTGAGACACTGCCTGCATCACCACTGTGGTGCTAGCATCCCTCCTCTGATCTGAGGGAACGCCTCCCTGCTGCTTAGGGGCTGTTAGAGATGTCCCAGGATCCTTCAGCCCCACTGAGCTGTCTCTAGATCCCAGCACTGAGCTTGACCCATGTGGGGTGTCCACATCTGAAGTGGGAGACTTGGTGGTGGCAGACTGGTCTCCTTCTTGTCCTCTGGGTCTTCCTCCATCTCCGCCTTGTTCTCCTTTCCTGCCCACCAGGCAATCCTTCAGCACATCCCAGTGCAACATGTTGCTGACCACCTCTGGGTCCGGGTAGAGGCGCAGCCTTTCCTTCACCATTTGCTGGGGAAAGAAGAGATCAAGGGCATGGTGGAGCCCACAGGAGCACTCCCACACACACCCAGCACTGCTGGGGGCCATGCCCTAGTGCAGAGGCACTGCCTGCACTAGTCCCCCAGGGATGCAGCCATCTCCTGTCCTGTAGCAGGATCTGGCGTCCTCATAATCATACCACATCACTGGCCAGAGTCCTTAGGTTCCAGAGGCCTGGCAGCTGGCCGGCAGCATCCTGGAGGTTCCCCTAGAGTGGGGTGAGGAGAGGGACGGCAGTCAGGATGCAGAATCAGGACTGAACAGAAGCATCTGCAAATTAACTTGGGCACCAGACAGATGGACGCTGGGCAGGCTTGTGCCTGGGGGCTGCTGCCGTATTGTACTGGTAGATCTTGACCCTCCTTTCCCAGCACCCGTGGTACTTTAACGGGTGTTCAGTTAAGAATTGCCTTAGGGCCACTTGGGTGGACAAACACAGTCACCTCTGCCAGCAGCTTGAGCTGGAGGCAGTGCTGTCCATTTCTGCCCTCCCCCGGGATCCGGGTTGGGTGGGCTGAGCTCCCATGCTTTCCTCTTGGGGCACCCTTCCCACTGTTCCCTCCCAGTGCCCTTCACACTAGGTGACATCCAAGGCTGGAGGACAGGGTCTGCAAGGAGATGTGGGGTGATGCAGGGAGGGGAGCAAGAGGCCAGCTCCCTCCTGGGGACACCAGCAGCAGCTCACCAAGCCAAGCGCGTCCTGGATCATATGGATTTTTCCTTCTATGCGGGACTGCGCCTTCTTCATCTGGCTAATCTCAAGGAGATCCTGGGAGACAGACTTGTCCTAGGAGAGGAGGGTGGCAGGCATGAGCCCCACGGGAGGGTCCCTGCAGACCGGGAACTTGGTCCCCACCCTGCCCCAATGGAAGCCATCACACGAACCCATGTCAGCAGGGCTGGATCCAGCCCTGCCTGCTCGTGCTGAGCTCTGTGCAGGAGCGCTGAAGGTGATGCCAAGGGCAAAGAGCCACCCCTGGAGGAGGAGGTGCCTCAACGGGGGAGAACCCAAGGGACTGGGGAGAGCCTCTACCTGGGAGCTGCTGTTCTTGTCGGTTTCCACCTTCTCCACCAGCTGTCCCACGTCGGCAGCCACATCAGCTTCGGAGCCGCTGGTGGTGTCCTGCAGCGGGTCCTTCGCAGGCTGCTGCTCCCCCGGGTGCTGGGGCTGCTGCTCCCCCGGCTGCTGGGGCTGCTGCTCCCCTGGCTGCTGGGGCTGCTGCTCCCCCGGCTGCTGGGGCTGCTGCTCCCCCGGCTGCTGGGGCTGCTGCTCCCCTGGCTGCTGGGGCTGCTGCTCCCCCGGCTGCTGGGGCTGCTGCTCCCCCGGCTGCTGGGGCTGCTGCTCCCCTGGCTGCTGGGGCTGCTGCTCCCCCGCCTGCTGGGGCTGCTGCTCCCCTGGCTGCTGGGGCTGCTGCTCCCCTGGCTGCTGGGGCTGCTGCTCCCCCGGCTGCTGGGGCTGCTGCTCCCCCGGCTGCTGGGGCTGCTGCCCCGCGGCCAGGGTCCTTGCCCTGTCCGACTCCACAAGCTGCTCCAAGCCTCGGATGGAGCTGTCCTGCAGGCCCAGGTGCTCCAGGATGGCCTGCAGCAGGTTGCGCAGCGCTCGGAAGTTCACGGCCTCGACATCGGGATCCCCAATGGCGGTGTCCAGCAGCTGGGTCAAGCTGAGCAGAGCCATGGCTGCTCCTATGGCCGACAACACGAGTCTGACCTGCTGGCGGTAGGAGAGTCAGTGGGCAGCCAGCAGCCTGCCTCCTGCTCCCTCAGTGATGTGGTGGCCCCTTCCCCGCAGCCTCTGCCCCCTCCAGCCCTACCGCCCCCCCCACCGCCAGCCCCCCTGAGCCCCGTTCCTTGCGCCCCGCGGCCCCGTACCTGCAGCAACTGACCCTGCCCCACGCCCTGCTCTCTTTACCCACCGCCCGCTCCTCGACGCCCATTGTCCGAGCCCGTTCTGAACTCACAGAGGGCGGCGCTGATGAAAACACCCGTTGCCAGGCGACACGCCGCGGCCCTCTCCAGTCCCGCAGCTCGGGCGCACGGGTGACGGTCCCGGGACCGACCCCGCTTCCGCCAGCCCCTGCCCAGGGAACCGGAGCGCCCCGGGAAGGCGAGCTGTCCTGCCGAGGAGGGCAGAACTATGTGGCAGAAGCAGGACAGGTTTTACTGTCTCCCTTAGACGTGGCAATACTGGGGGGAAGGCTGCTGCTGACAGCATCACCACACAGATTTTGAGCATCCCGCTCCAGAGCAAAGAGCTGCACAAGCAGGAAAAAGCAGCACAGACAGACACAAGCTTCCACACAACCCGAGCAAGGAGAGGACTCCAAAACATCTTGGAAGCAGAGTCACCCATCAGACAAGTACTGACAAAAAGAATCCTCAAGAACATCTTTTCCTGAAGAAACCTCCATGTCCGACCATGCCAGAGAACCGACACCTCCCTCCTGCGGTGAGGCACTCGGAGAATGAGGGTGGGGAAGCCGGAGGCAGAACTTAACAAACCTTGCTCTTGTTAAAGAGAGGAGAGATTCATTTTCAGTCATTAAAGAGAGATTTGCCCTTGTAGTCTTCTTTCCTGAGCTGGGAGGATTGAATTCCAAGAGGGAGTAGGCATGAAGAGATGGGGACAAGATGCACCAGGGCAGGAAGCTCACCCTCTTATCCTATGCATCCTACACCTTCACTTCAGGAACTGGCAGACCTTTAGGCTCAGGAGCTCCACAGACACAGCCAGGGACTAGTCGTGCTTTCTAGACAGCCCTCGGGGCTGGCAGGAGCTGCAAGACCCCTAAACCAGCATGGGGCCACCTCAGCAACGTCAGACAGCAGCAGCAAGGGAAGGACCTTGGGGCAGAAGGGAAAGAACTGAGGTTCAATGCTGACAGAGTGGCAACCAAGGCCCACGCTGTGTCAGGCCAGGCGGATGCTGTGTCCTTGCGTCCACCAGCCCCAATCCACCATCTCCCCACAACCTTTGGGACCCAGTGAATGCAGGGTGCCAGATTTCCTAAAGCAGGTAGGGATTTTGAGTCACGTCTTGGCTTCAGGTTAGCCAACTGCGTCTGGCTTCTAGTCAGGGTAAGGTGTGAAGCGAAGCCTGAGGAGAACTCAGGTTGCGGTGCTGACTATGGGGCAGGTGCTGACTATGACCCAGGGGACACCGGCTCAACCCTCTGGTCACTGGGGCTGCAATTCCACAGTTAAGACCCAAGCACAGCCTAGTAAAAGCAAGCCCAAGTGGTGCAATAGCAGGCAACAAGCCCTGACCTTACTTCTGGCAGGTCTGCCAAGCAGCTGGGAGAAAAGAGCAGTGCTGCTCACATCTTGAACACTGTCTTCCAGGATGAAAAGCATGGTCCAGTATTAGCTCAGAACAAGGGGCCTGAACACATCTGCAAGAACTTCATGCACTCCAGTGGATGCATTCCATAATCCTCTCAGCATAGGACTCTGCTCCTGCAACAGGCTGAATAGCCATGCTATGCTCAGAGTACAGCCAAGACTTGTTCCTAGTACTTGGAAACACAGGAAACCCATCCACAGCCTTCAGACCTCACCCAGCGCGGTGCATCCCTCGGGGGATTTGGCTCCGAGGTTTGATCCCTGTTGTAGCTGGAGATGACCCACCCGTCCCGGGCTTCTGTGTACCCTCCCCAGCTATGAGGCAGGACACTGGTGCAAGGTACATTTGTTCGCCTACTGCTCAGGGCTGGCCTTGCTCACTTGCTGCCAGCCCCCTGGCACCCATGTATGCATTTTACACTCTGAAATTCAGAGAAGGGTGTGGGGAGAAGCAAAAGGCCCTGCTAGGGCAGCCTGTCACTCTTTGGAAGCAAGTGCCTCCAGCAGGCTTTATCCCCTACCTCATCAGGCTGTAACATGGTACATGTTTACTTGAGCGTGCTTGTGTTCCTCATCAAGGGAAGGATCATAGCTGGAGAATTTCTCTTTTTATCATCCTGGAGACAGCCCTTCACAAGCCCCTTGTGCTGCTTTCTCAAGTGTCCGTCCAGCCAAGGCTTAGTGCCACACAACAAGGGAGCAAGCCCTGAGTCCTGCTTTCCTGAAAAAGGCTGCCAAGTGACTCTGGTTACAGCAACAGCCCCGCATGACAGACACAGCGGCTGTTCAGAAGGGACAAGCTTCACAGGAAGCACCAAACCTTAACATCCTATGCTTTGGTGGCAGGGCCAGTGTCTGTGTTTTGGAGAGCACACCTGCAGATGTTCTTCCAGCTCCCCTTTCCCACAAAGACTCTTGCCGCAACTGAGGAGCCCCAGGCAACTCCAGAAACAGAGCCTGGCTTTACAGCACAGTGTTCAAATGAGGACCAAGACCCTCAGGTGCCTTGCCCCTGTAGAACAAGAATGATGCAAAGCTCACAAAACAAAAAGGCCAGCACATAAACTAGCATCCGTGGCCTGGCTGGGAGACACATACGAGCTTGTTTCCAGTGCCCTGATACGACAGACTGAGTAGCCCTGTGAACAGGTTGCCTTAAGCTGCCCTTTCGGGATGTTCCACCAACTTAGTTTGGATGAAAACCCTTGCTTTGCTGTGCAAGAGTGGAGAGGGCACTCAGCCAGCAAGGGGCTGCTTCGCTCTGCCTGCAGCAAACCGTCTGGCCGGCCGTGCAGCACGTGAAGGGAAGTGCTCCCTTCTGTGCTCTCAGGCAAGTCACTCAGAAACAGGAACACGGAGTTTGTCTCCTCTTGCTGCCTCCCCGCGGCAAGGAGCGGTCTCGATTCCCTTCTCAACACGCCAGCCCCTGGTTTAGCGCTGCAATAGGCCAATTCCATTAACTTGGAATAGAAACACAGCCCCAGACTGCTCACAACACAAGCAACTGGGGTCAAAAACCTCCCAAACAAGAACACCACAGCTCCAGAGATGTCAGCAAGGGGAGGGGGGCTCAGGGTGCAGCAGCAAAGGATCTCCCAGGGCACCGGGAGACCCCCATGGTAGGAGAGACTGGGCACAGCACAACATTCAAGGAGAAAAAGAGCAAGAAGCGGAAAGTCTGCCTGCTGAAGCTTCTCAGACAAGGAGCATCACCCAGACAGCCTCCAGGGGCAAAATGAAGCGAGTGCTCGGATTTCTAGGGCGGGGAGTTCACAGGAAGATGGCTACAAGGGCTGAGGTCTTTGGTGTTGGTCCCCTCCCAGCTCAGACCCAGCTGGACCTAGTCCTGCAAATGCAGTTAGTACCGGGGATGGAGTTAAGCACCTCGATGCCTGTGCTCACGCATAGGTGCTCGAGAGTCCTTTGCTGGCTCCCAGTTACCCCAGTGCAGGTGACACTGGGGGAATCCCACATCTTGCAGGCTGTTAGCACCCATTTTTCCCCTGCACAATTCCCCCCAGGTAAAACATCCACGGGGTGGGGGGTGGCTCCATGGGGACTAAGGTGTCTGGGGAGTGCAGTGGGGTGGGTGGGGTCTGCTGCTGGGGAGAGGGACAGGTTTGGGGGGTCCCCCTTGCCCCATGTGGGGAGAAGATCCCCAGGAGAGCAGAATTTCCACAGGGCACCCCAGGGACACAGCACAGTGGGGGTACGGTGATGCTCCCCAGATGCCTTTGTCCTCACAGTCTGCCTCTGTGGTTCTCCTCGGGGTTTCTCACATGGGAGGTGCCACTGCCTTCATGTCTATCCCCCCACTCCGTGTTGTTTCATTGCCCCAAATGCCCAGCTGTGACACCCTGAGTGCCCCCTGCTACCCCCACTGCTTCCAGTCACTGCCCGGTACCTCTCCACTCCAGACAGAACTTGTATTGGGGTTCAGCATGCAGTGGGGCTTTATCCTCTCTGATGGGGAGGGATGGGGTGGCAGAAGGGGGCTGGGGAAAGCAGCCCCAGGCCCTGAGGGTGGAAGAAGGGAAAGGAGGAATGTGTGTCCCCCAGGTTAGGGCTAGAGAGGTGGTTCTGGTGGTTTGCTCCAGAGGGGGGAAGCAGCGGGGTCGGAGCAGCCTTCTTTCCAGCGGCGCTGGAAGAGGGACAAGAGGGTGACAAAGAGGGTTTTCCCCCGAGGAGAGAAGGAAAGCAGCTGGGGGATGCTCACACCTCCACAGGACCCCATTGCCAGGTGGTGGCCCACAGCCTCCTCCTGTCCCGGAGCACCCTGCTTTCAGCAGTGCTCACCTTCCAGGTCAAACGGGTTGCTCTTATTTTCTCCTCA